TACAGACCTTGTGGGATAAAAAACGGGATGAAGAAAAGGTTCATCAGTTTTTGATGGGTCTTGATGGACACTTGTATGGTACTACTCGTTCTCATATTTTAGCACTCGATCTCATCCCCAATCTCAATCGAGTTTTTTCCATGTTGGTTCGCGAGGAGCGGATGCGCACGACGAGCACTGAACAGCCCCAAGTCATCGCAGCCGGTTTCTCCATCAATGGGTCGGGCCTGTTGGGCGCGGCTCCGTCGAACAGTGCGGCGGTTTTCTCCTCTCTGGCCGCTGCGAACACCGCCGGCCTCGGCATTCTGGGCAGCAACACAGCGGGTGGACCTGCCGGCATACAGGGACCATTTTCGCAAGCAGCAGGCCGCCTGACTGGTTCTTCATGGGCCGCGGGCGGATCGCAGATGGCGGGTGCAGCTGCAGTCACCTCGACCGAGCAAGCCGGGACAGCTGGGGTTCGATCAGTGGCGAATCTCACATGCTTTCGTTGCGGGAAAAATATTATGAGATAATAATATGAGGACACCACAATAGGGTGTGCCATCTTTTCATATCTTCCGAATATTTCACGGTCTTGACAATAAGAAACATAAAATAATTGCACGAGTTTATTTTAAAAATGGTACATTGTGGTTATAAAGGTAGACGGGATGTCATCAAGTTCAGTTCAATAAAATCGATTCTTAATATGAAGAATACAAATAATTAAATATATATATAAATCACATTTGAATGTCTTTAATTCCCATATATACTACTACTCGCGACCTATATAGATGAAGAGAGATTGGCGAGGGGGTATATGTGTAATTTTGGAGGTAAAAGCCAAACAAGGTCAGTCAGCCTAGCTACAGTGTGATGATTAGATACAGCCCAATGCCCCGTTTGTGAAAACGGACAAAAGTTTGGCTCCTAACGTCTTACGTATATATGCGTTTGGCCTTTACTATTTCTTTATGCATCATCATATTAATTAAAACCAAAAAAAAAAAGAAAAGAAAAATCAACACACACACACACACACACTCTTGCCCATGAACCAAAAAAAAATCCTAATAATGACTGCGTTTTTGTTCTTTTCTCTCTTCTTTCTTTCAATCTCTCCACTTCTTTGCTTCTATCAATTTGGAACCATTTGTTGTCATTGGGCCCCCCCCCCTCTCTCTCTCTCTCTCTCTCTCTCTCTCTCCTCAACAAGCTTATTATTTATTATTATAATTATATATAAGGGTTTACATGGAGAGATGGGGAGAGAGAGAGAGAAAGAAAAGTTGTGCTGATTTTTCTTTTCTTTTTGAGCTCTCTGATAAAAGTATTATGGCCAAAGCTTAAAATAAAGCTGGCCGGAAAAGTAATAAAGGCCAAAAGCTGATTATAATAATATACCATAAATATTTTAGATTTTCAGAATAAATAAATAAATATTATTATTATTATTTTTTTTTTTAATATAAGTTTAGTTTAGTGTTCAGCCATGGCGTTCGGTTGTACTACTTTTGTAGCTGTATATTCCCTCGTCCCCAGCTTTTGTCTTCTTCATCTCTCTTTCTCTTTCATTACTCCCATTAATTTATCACTTCTGAAGCTCCAAACAAGAAGACGGATTGCATAAAAGCTCATAATCAGTCACACCATTTTTTTCAGATCAAACATTTTCACAAACACTTCATCTGCAACAACTTTCTCTCCGATTTCGTCAATGCTAACCAACATCGATCCTTCCCTTCCTCCGCCGGACACACTAATCTCCAATTACTCGGAAAACGCAACCGCCGCCGGAAAACGAAAACGCCGACCAGCCGGAACCCCAGGTGGTCTTCACCCCTCTCTCTCTCTCTCTATTAGATTTTAAAATCCGATTGCTTACCTTATTTTGTTGTAAAATTTATTTCAGATCCAGATGCTGAGGTGGTGTCGCTGTCGCCGAAAACCCTACTGGAATCGGACCGGTACGTGTGCGAGATCTGCGGCCAAGGATTCCAGCGAGACCAGAACCTTCAGATGCACCGGCGGCGGCACAAGGTTCCGTGGAAGCTCCTGAAGCGGGAGACGGCGGTGGCCAGGAAGCGCGTGTTTGTGTGCCCGGAGCCCAGCTGCCTCCACCACGACCCGCGCCACGCGCTGGGCGACCTCGTCGGGATAAAGAAGCACTTCCGGCGGAAGCACAGCAACCAGCGGCAGTGGGTCTGCGCAAAGTGCTCAAAGGGCTACGCCGTACAGTCGGACTACAAAGCCCACCTCAAGACCTGCGGCACCCGAGGCCACTCCTGCGATTGCGGACGGGTTTTCTCAAGGTCCCCAATTTAATTAATTAATTAATTAACCCTGCTTATTATTTTTCTTATTTTATTTTCATAATATTTTTTAATAATTATTACTTATGATGATTTTTGTTGAAGATCTTCAACATATAATATTTGTGTTATTATGTTGATAGCTATAAACTAGGTATTATTAATGGAATGGAATCTTTTTATAGATTATTATATTTATATATATGTATATATTTTAATGAGTTTGAAAGTACATTATAAGTATATAATTTGTGAAAGCATGTGATATTGAGCAGTGTTAAAAGTTATTGTATTCAGTGCAAAGAATGTTTTTGTAAAATGCAAGTGAACATTTGATTTTGAAGTGTGTGTGTGTGTGTGTGTATGTTTGTACTTTGTATGTGTCAAATCAATTTCTCTGAAGCAGTCCAAGAAATATTATTATGCAGATTTTTGATAGACTAGGTTTTGACTGATTTTTTCTGCACGTACATTATTAACCTTATTTTACAACTTTTTTTTAAAGAGTTTTCTACCGTTCGATTATGGAACCATTTCGTCGGAGTTTGTAACCCTTAGATCAACTATCCACGACATTACATGATGTTCTAACGGTTACAAATCTCGACAGAATGTTTAGCATTTTTTTTAAGTCTACTATATCCAATTGGGTTTTGACTCTACTTTAAAATATATTTATAATATTAAGAATTAAGAATGATTGATTAGGATTCCATTTGTCTCGAAGTACTACAAAACAGTAGTATTTGTCCATCTTTAGCAGTTGCTAATAATTTCGCATATCTATAAAGATATATAACGTTAAAAGTTGTTTTTGGAGCTCGTATATACGTGTGTGTTTCAATCATTCAATTTTCTTTTTTTTTTTTTCATTTTAATTTATTGCCTTCGATTTGAATTTATTATGGTCAATATTCCAATGATGGAACATCGATTTTCATGATGATAATAAAGAAAACAAACACAGCAATTTTTAGTGAATAAGTATATACCTAAATATCAGAAAATAATATAAGAAAAATACAGAACTTAAATTGTGATTCTTTTTTTTTTCTTAAGAAAACATTCTTTGGGTTTTGTATAGGGTGGAGAGTTTCATCGAGCACCAAGACGCCTGCAGCATGGGTCGGCTCCGATCAGATCACCACCCTCTCCACGCACCGCCACCGCCGCTGCCTGCGGCTGTAGCGGCGGAGGCCTCCAGCCCCAGTCCCTCCAGCGACACCAATCTCAGCGTAGCTCTCGCCTTCCAAAGACCCACCGAACCATTCCTCTTCACCACCACCACCACCACCACCACTACCGCCGCCGTCGCCGCCCCAACCGTCTGGAGGAGCACCTCCGACCACTACCACCACCACCCAGATCTGGAGCTCCAGCTCCTGACCAGATCCAGCCACCCTACCCAGCTCCAGCTCTCCATCGGCTCGTCATCCGAGAACAACAGCAGCAGCACCGGCGAGAGGCTCCGGGAGGAGGCCGGGGAGAATCTTCGGGCGGCCAAGGCCGAGAAAGCTCAGGCGGAGGAGGCGAGGCGCCAGGCCAGGCGGCAGATGGAGGCTGCGGAGCGGGAGTTTGCGGAGGCGAAGAGAATCCGGCGGCTGGCTCAGGCGGAGTTGGAGAGGGCTCAGGCGATGAGGAATGAGGCGACCGAGAGGATTAACGGCGTCATGGTACAGATCACGTGCCAGTCGTGCCGCCAAAAGTTTCGCCCTTCATCTTCGGCTTGTGAGAATTTGAGTTACGTGTTCAAGGACTTGGAAGCCAAGAAATTAAGGTGATCGTTTTAATGGAGTAATTAATTAATTAATAAATTAATCATCTAAAATATTACTACTAAATGTGTTTTTTTTTTCTTCCAAATTTTGGGTGTTAATTTCATTATTAACACATTTTTTTATGGTGTTGTGCTTCCTGTCATTTTTTTTTTATTTAATTTCTAATATTGGTGTTTGGTTAAAATTATATTCCGAATTATAAATGCGGAAATATAATTCAAATTCAATGTGGTGATAATATTCATGTATTGTTGTGATGGTTGGTTAGCCATCTGATATTGTTGTATATGTTAGTTTGTTTAAATTAATTTATTTTATGAGAGTGTTGGTGAATTTTTTTTTATATTTTCTGTTTGCATTATTATAATATAGGGAGAAGTAGGGAGATGCTACGATTTCATTACGGAATCATTTCGTCGCGGTTTGTAACTGTACATGATAGTTACTTGATAATTTAACAGTTACAAACTCTGACGGAATGGTTCCGTAACGGACTATAGCATTTCGCTATAATATATTAGTTCTTGTTGTGGCAATCTTTTCGCGATATGATTAGACCATGTATCTCATGATTGACTTCGAGCACCCAATTTCATATTTATAATAGGGCAATGCTATATGTACACCCTCTTTTAATAAATTACACAAAGAAAAGTGCTATATGTACACCCCTTTATAATAATATGTTAGGTTGGTACGTAATTAATTACGCCTTTATTCCCAGTTTGATGTAATTATGGTTGTTTTATTTTATTATTATTATTATTTTTGTTTTTTGGGAGATTCTTCATGATTTTAGTACATGTTAGTAATTTAAGAACGTAATAATGCGAAGAATTTTTTGTACCAAAATACTTAAATATTCACACGAAACTCAATTCTTAAATACATAGAATAAATAAATAAACACGAAAAATTAAAATTTAACATACAAGTAAAAATCACTGGTAATTTGACTCGGTAAATTAAGTCAACGTGCCAAAAAAAAAAAAAACAATCACAAATCAATTACAATGTTTTTCTGAACAAAATGAAACTACTAGATCAGATGAAACCACTAGAAACCTATTAAGAGAATGAAATCATTTAACAAAATGAAACCAAATAACAATAATATTCCACCAAAAATAAAATTTAATATATATATGTATATATATATATATATACACATAAATAAGTTAGAAAAACAAAACAAAATAATGAAATAAAAAATATATTTAATAATCTCCCCCGTTTTGTTTCTCTGAATAAAACAACATACGCAAATCGCAGGAGTCCAAAATATCCAAAATAATAATAAGCTATGCATTAACCATTCCCCTAAATAGCACAATGAAAAACAAATATAAAAGAGATAAGAAAGATAAAGGAAAACAGTGTCAAGTGACACTCCATTTTCCCCCTTTTTGGTCAGAAAAAGCATGGACTGTAGAAGGCTTGATCACTATCGAGTAGAGGCACGAGCTCAGCTTTGACTTCCTCGCAATTCAAGCACCTAGAGAATGTTTTATCGACACTGAGACTCATCATGAACCGATAAATGAAGGCGATTTCTGAGCTCTCCCTAAATTCGAGGTGTTGTGCGTGAGATCGAGCATTTCATTAATCTCTCGAACTTGTGGTACTGATCATTAATAATTCATTCATCATACTATCAGGAGTATCTTGGTTCATTATTTTAAAAGTATGTTTTGATACTCATTCGATCTAGATTCAATTTTTCTTTTGGTTTTTTTCATTAATTAGATGTCTCTATTTTGTATGAAAAATTTTGTGGATTGTGATCCAGTGGAATTTTGGTATGTGGCTTTACACTACAAGAAAACACTTCAATTCCAACGAAAAATTCCAACGGCAAAAATTTCTGTTGGAAATTCCAATGAATATTCCAACAAACTTAATTTTATGTTGGAATAAGTGTTGGATGGTTGAGGAATTCCAACGGATTTTTTCTGTTGGAATAGCTGCAGGAATTTATTTCCATAGGATTTTTCGTTGGATTTTAGCTATTCCAACGGCCGTTTTTTCCACGAATTTTTATATGTAGGAATATCCGTTGGAATAGCTATTCCAACGATAAATATAAAGAATTCCAACGGAAAATTTCCATTGGAATGTATGAGTTTTTTTTGTAGTGTTAGTATTCAAGTGTTTCTCACTTGTGGGCTATAAATTTTAACTATTTGTATTATTTTTTCTGATGGGTATTTAAATTTTGAAACTTCGTATAAAAATCTAGATTTTTTGGTACCTAAAATTCTAAAAATGAATTAAAAAAAAAGATGATAAATAAAAGTAATTATCTTACATATTGGCGTAGATTTGGAGTTAATGATTTTATTGGTCTAAATTATCATTTTTTTGGTGGTAGCCAGCCCCGACTAATTCGTTGGTCGACCCGGGTCGCACACTTGACAGTGGTGAGTGAATCTACGAGCAAAAGTTTTCTGCATCCATAAAAATTCGAACCCGAGACCTTAAGCCAATTCTTGTTGGTATTGGCCTAAAAATTTTAATCATAAGCTACCCATATAATTTTTTAAAACCACATCATTTTACATGATTCGCTGATGCAAATTAGTGCCTACACTGTTGTAAAATTTGTCAACTCAAGACATTCACATAAATTATTAATATATAAAAAAATTAAAAAATGAATAATTTAATTAAATTACCAGAATATATCCATGGTGGAATATTTTACTATATATCGTATCTAGCCCTAGGTATTAGGTGTTTGTGTTAGATTTTGTGTTTGGGAGTATTATACAAAAAATCTGTGTTCGCATGTGTACTACATATATAAACGCAATGTTTTGCATATATAATTAAGGGAAGATGCTATTGTCCACAATTTCGTCGAAATTTGTAATCGTTAGATCAACTATTTCTGATGGCTACAATCCCGAACCGAATGGTTCAGTAACGAGACTTTTTTAGCATTTTAGAGAATGAATAAAAAGAAGGGTGAGATAATAAAAATTAATAATAAATAAAAGGGTCGTTTTCAAGTGTGTGCAGGGTTACGCAGAGGGCATATAAATGTAGAGAAGATTAAAAAATAAAAAAGAGGTACGCCATGTTTTTCAGTGCCACAGTTGTAATTGTTTCATCAACGACTCGTCCCTCTCAACCCACACAGTGAGTTCACGTACGTACCCACAAAAACACACATAATGAAATCTATTCCTTCATTTCATTATTATTATTTTTTATTTAAAAAAAAATTAAAAATAAAAAAAAAATATTTTCTTGGCTTTTAATTAAAATAATAATTATTAGGCATGCATCAGAATCAGTGTGCCTTTCCCTGCCATCTTTCCATTTTTTGCAGAAACCATTGCCTAACGGAAGAAAAATCCACCTCCC